TCTTTCCCTTTTCTTCCGGCATATATAAGACATTTTTATGTCTTTGTATTGTGTATCTAAAGATGCATTTTTTTCTTGTTTATTAAATTCTACCCAGAAAAACTTCTGTTCATGAACTTGACACGTTCATTCATTATTCAAGCCAGAAAACATTCTTGCTCAAGTAACTAGTAAGTGTTTCTAGCAACTGCAAGCCCAAGTTAAATAGCAGTAAATTTTTGGTTTGGATGCTTTTTTATTTTTTTTGTCCCAGGAATACTTACAGTTTGGGTAAGCTGTATCACAGGTGTCTTCCAAAAGAAGGCAACTAGTTATGCCGTAGCACTTACCATCCCCTTGCTGCTTTTGAGTGGCAGTCAGAGTGTTCAGGGAAGGGACTCAGGATACTGCAGTCAATGAAATGTCAGTGCAGTTGTGCAGGCAAAACAGCAGACCCCAATAAAAGTGTGCTAGGACTTGGTCAGGAGTTATCTGAAGAAGCAGTAGGTATCTGTGTAGCACAGTGGGATCTTGATCTAGCTTATACTCCAGGAATTTATAAGTAAAGCAGGGCTAGGAAAACAAAAGAGAAATAGTAAAGATGATCTTGTTATTACAGATGCTACAATTTTTCTTTATTCTACAGGAGAATAAAATTAAGCCTACAGGTGTACCTGGAGATGGGAGCAGCTCTGCTGGGAAAGCATCACCAGATAATATTTGGAAATACTCTTGTGGCTAGAGGTTTTAAGGTCAAGGCAAGAGCTCTCATACTTAGAGCTGAAAGATGTTAAACCACGGGATATCTCCATTTTTGGAACATATATTTAGTAATTACTGCCCTAGTTTTTTTCCAGATACGTGTGACTTGTACCCTAGCACGCTGTAGCATACAACATGAAGATCTCTAAGGAAAACATGAAAATGACATGGATGTGAACCAAGAGGAAAGAGATCACACACGCTAGGTAAAGGAGGAGAATTTAACATGAGAGCAACTACTACTTTTAAGTTTATACAGGCACCTGTTACCAGGCCAAACAAACATTTTCAGCTGGTCCCACTTAAAATTGTATTTTAATACACAGCTGCTGAGAAGGTTGAAAGTATTCTTTCTAATAGAAACAAAGAAAAGGTGTTTTGTCTTCCCTGCAAGAGCGATGTGATGTGGTAACCAACACAGAAACTGGATGTCGAGAATCTATCGCAATGTGTTGTACATGAGATTGCATTATTGTCAGCTGCTCCTGCTCATTAACACAAGCACTTAACACCTTTTTTGGTGTGTACATGTCTTCAAGGAGCAGATTTGGAGGAAATGTAGTTTTCTCTTTTTAGCTGTATTAAACCTCACATTCACATCACAGTACAACAGCTCATGTTTAAGTAGAAGAGTAGATGACTGCTTCCTTCTGTCCTCCCTCCATCACCCTGGAAAGACCAGTAAAAACTGTTAATAGACTTATTATTCCTAAATTACTCAAAACAATTAGGAAAACAAAATTAAGAGAGTGGGGAAGGAGAGGGGATGAGACAGAGAAAAAGGAGTTCTACTTTTCTTCATCTGGAGAATCATCACTTCTGTGAGGACAGGGAGAAGGATATTTCTGCTCTTCACCTGCTGAATGAACAAAGGAGGAGTAAACTTCTACAGGCAGATTATCAGCTGAAGAATGACTTTACTTGCTTCCCAGTAGATGTTGTTGAATGGATTTGGGTATTCTTCATCAGTGTCTTACAATAGGAAGTGCTGCTTCTCCCCCCACCTTTCATATTTTATGTTTCCTGTTTTGGCTTCAGGGTTCTACAAATACTGCACCATTTTGGAATGTGTAGGTGCAAGCTAGAAACTAAAACCTTAACTGTGAAAGCTTGAGAACTTGGGATCCCCAGTCATGCAGTCCATGATGAAAATGCAATCCTGCGCAGGACAGGCATTGTTCCATGTTTGCTGCAGAGCAATGAAAGAAAATCTTGCAGCATTGGGAAGGGGAGAAACAACTACATCTGAAAAGGACATTAAAATACTAGGAAACTTTGACTGCAGCTATGGGTAATCATTTCAGAGTGACTTTACATGTATAACTTGGGGCTTGGAAATAACAAGATCACCTCCAAAAGAAATAGATAAAGCTCCACTGCCAAAAATAATCCAGAAGAGTAGGATTTGGGTGTAGGTGGCCAATTCCTCTGTGAACTCCTCCAACTTTGAGAGCAGTCTTGTGCTAGTAACATACTACAGCCAGTGTGATTATGTACAAATGCCAGTGACATTTACTAATTAGCAGTTTGTGATTGTATAATGAATGTATTTTTAGTAGCTGTTCTGTTGATACCAGCTGCTGCTTGTGAAGAACAACTGTCTTCTATTTCAACAAGTCATCTGCTTGGTGATTTCTAAAGCATTAGTTTCCATGAGGGCATGGGCAGTCCCAAACAGTGCGTAAACCAGGAGTTTGAATATTCCCCAGAGCAGTTGGTAAAATAGATGAAGAGGCTGAAGACTCATTCAGACCAGACATTTCTGAAGAATATACCCTAGTCTTGTCCTATATGAAATGTGAGGTGCCATTGTTTTACTATTTGTATTAATAATGAGCCGGTTCTCGCACAGTAAAAAGTGGGCATTAAAAGGTTGGGGAGAGGTTGGGGTGAAAGAGGGGAAGCTTCAAGATCATTTGAACTCCAGAAAAAAAAACAGCACAAATGACTGATGGACTGTTTCCTTGTTCTTTCCATGGGAGAGAGT